CCTACAAGTTAATTTGCAAGGGTAGGAGGAGATTCTTCTCCTCTAGGACACACGAAGCACAGCTCTCCTTTGAATGTACAAGTTCCATCTTCCCCAAGCACACTTTAATTCATATTGGCAAGCAGATGCACATATTGGAAACCTTACCTATTACTGAAACATTGAGATTTTCTATGTATGCCCTGCAGAAAGCTGAACCTACCTATACTCCACACACATGCACACAGATTTCAACTAAATTATTTCCATCTATGTCAAATGCAGAGCCCTTCTTTATTCAGTAAACAGGAACAGAGCAGTTTCAAATGCAAGGAATTCAGAGACACTGTATCACTAAGCTGGCACCACACATTGGCACCACCCTTACTATAGATGTCCTCTTGTACCTAACCCCAGCCAACCCCTGTAAGCAGACATTCATATAGGTAAACTGCTTTTGAGTAGGTCCAAATATTCAAATAGCCCAAGGAGGAATGGATCCAATCTATGCGGGCTTCTCTAAGCTGCATATATTGGATCAGGAGCAAATGGAGCATGTTTGCACTTTTGGGAGGGGGTGGGGGGTGGGAAACAGATGTCTCCACTGGCCAAAGCCAAAAGGGGCGGGTGCAGAGGGAGGAGGGTGCTCCCACATGACTCGGCCTCTCCCTAGCCACCCCCCTCCCCCAGCAGTCAGCTGTCAGCAGCAGGGCAGGGGAGCAGAAATTCAATAAATCGGATTAACCTAAGCCAATTAAGTCTGACACTACATCCATCCAGGCCTAATTTAGACCAGGTTCTGCCATTTTTAAACTAGTCTAATGCATGGTGAACTTCTGTCCTGTTAGAGGTTTAGATCTGTTTCCAATCACACCTGGGTTTAATTCCTGGCTGTCACAGACTTTTGTCACATAAAACATTTTCTCTGTATTACCATTTTTCATCTGTAAAATGAAAATAATATTTTTCTCACTCTTCAGCTGTTTCATCCAAACAAGTTAGGGAAAAGGCTGACTTATTAAAAAAAAAATTATCCTACCTAGACTAGGAGCCCATATTTTGATTGATTCCTCAAAGGTGTTACTCTGACAGGAAAGCAAATAGGCGATTCTTCTATCACCAGATTTAGACCAGTGAAAGCTTACTTCTACTGCAATTTTTTAAAAAAAATGTGGAATTAACATTTGGAGGTGAGCCTCTGGCTACCTGGTCATGCCGAAGGTATGGAAGTGGGCTTACACAATCTATGCCTTCACTTCTGTCCTGTTTCTGGGAAACTCCAGCACTCCTTGCCTTCCCCTGCAGCAAAATTACCTCAAGTTTCATGAGAAGTCAACCCATAGACATTTTCCTTCCTTGGTTCTAAAATAAGATGCTTGAATCCAATTAACAATTAGTTCCCTCACAATTAGTTATATGCAATACCATCTCTGCAGAACTTCGAGTACTGAATTATGCTTCTACACTATAGTGTACTAGATTACCAATACTTATCTTTGTTATACCATGGAAAAACAACAGAGATTAAAACTTACTATAACTATATGTGCACATATATACATGTACACCTAATATACATACCTACTTTGATATTTTTCTGGAAAATTCAGACAAAACAGCAAATATCAAAATAAATACACACTGACATATATACTTCAAAATCTATTTTCAAACAGTATGCGGTGTAAAACCACTACTGGAGGACATTACTAGAAAAGCTGATATTAAAAAAATAGAGAGACACACACTTTGTCAACTATAGCATTTGTACTAAATAAAAAGATATAGCATTAGGAAGAGTGTTTGTGGGGAATGAGGAAAAAATACTCATACTTACCTGCTGAAAACTGGAATACCTGCTCAAAGTTAAATATAACATGTAATCAAAATCTTAAATATTTATTGTCAGGCTTACATTAAGCAAGAGGGACTGGGACTGAGGCTGAGAGGGGGACCAAGATAGAGATGTATTTTCTTATCAGTACGAAGGGTTAGATTGGGTATTTATTCTTCTCCCGTTCAGCTGCTTAACTAGTATTTTAAAATACCAATAGACTGATTTTCATAAGTGCCAAATGTTCATAACTCAAAACTCCTGTTGCTTAGTATTTCTTAAAAATATCTGAACCATAGTAATGTACTAAAAGACGACATTCTACAAACGCATTGTAGAGAAAACTGCCCTATATTTTGTTGTGCCAAGTTTCTGTGATCTAGAAAGGAAAAGCCTTATGTTTCTATAAGCTCCTGTTAACCAGCAGAGGGCATTATTGCCTATCAAGAAGAAAAGTCATTTGTCAAAGTCACTGTCAAGCCTTTATTAAAAGCAAGTCTATTTTAAGTGTTTAATACCTAAAGAGTACAATCTGATTCTTTGGTTAGACAGACTCTTTAAGTGGAAGTTACAACAAGCCACAAGCCTCATTTGCTCTTGGGAAAGGGAAAGAAAGTTATACATTAGGTACCATGTTACACGAGCTGAGGCACTACGCATTGGCAATGTCATTTTAAGTAATTGAAAAAGTAAATGAATCAATTTATATGATCTAGAAAAAAGCCTTGACAAATAAGCATGTTACCAAGTGCTTCATTGACAAATGAGTGATAATGAAGGAGACTAGAATATTGCATGTTTGTCCACACTTTAATGAACCATTATTTAGGAGCC